GCAGAGTCGTCTTCCAGGGCCTGGAAATATAGATTTCAGAGGCTCGCAAAAAAAAAAAAAAGGCAAAAGTTACACAGGTGAGAATGAATGCATGGATGGATTATGGCTTCCAAGAAGAAAGTGTAAAAAAAGAAAATCAGGAACCTAAATGCTTGAGTCCTGAGAAACACTCACATTTGGAGAAAGGAATAGAAGTCGTATAAGCAAAAAGATGTCATAGACATAGAAACTACCAGAGTTAGTATACATATCTAACCCCACCCTCCCAACCTGCCCTCCTCCCCCAAGCTCAAGGTGAGCCAGGCTTGAAGTTCAATGACCGTCGTTACCGAAGGTGGGGGTAGAGAGGCAAATCCCAGCAGGACCAGAGGGGGTGTGTGGAGAATACAAACCTCTGAGCAAAAATCCAACTTCCCCTTTCCTTCTCCCCCAACCTGAACAAAGTGTTCTAGTACAAAGCACATTAGCTAATTAACGCCCAGTCTGTGCTGGCCACCACCTAGAAAATTAAGACCTACCCCCTCCCTACCCCCCACCTACAGGATTCCTCTTCCTCTGGGTGACACCACCTTTCCTCCTTCGCTGCATCGATTCTAACAGTACTAAGGCCCAAGTGGTAGAAGCTGGAGGAGCCAGGGCTGGGGGACTTACCCAGAGGACAGCATCTCCCCCAGCAGCTGGGTGTGAGTGGGTAGCCACAGACAGGGCTAGGTGAAGTCACAGAGCCCACACCGGCCTGCCAGTTCAGGTAAGGGAGGAAACTCCGGAAAACTGGAGATTTCCTCAACCATCCCAGGTGGGGGCAGTGACACCACAGAAGACAACCCACTAAGTTAATGATCCAGAGAAGGGACCCGTGTCGGGGGCGGGGCTGGCAGAGGGACCGCCCCTACCTGGGCAGCTTTTTCCAGAATCACCTACAAATCCTGGCTTGACTCCTTTCCCTTTCTTTTCCTTGCCCTATCAAAGTAGATCCAGTAGGATTGAGAGGATTGGGAAAAGAGAGAAAGAGTTAGAAAACAAAAACCAAGGACCCATTTTATGATCATAGGATTTATAGCTGGAAGGAACTTTAGAAATCTTCTGACTCAATTTCCTCATCATGCAGATAAAAACATTGAGGCACATTGAAAAGACTGCCTAAGTTAGCACTGTTACAGAGCAGAGCTAGCATCCAAACATATGTCTTGACTCCAGATCTTGTCTTCCTAGGGATTTAATATCAACTCAAGGTCCCAAGAACTTCCTAACTCCACCCCTCCTCTAACTATAATTCTACCTCTTATCCTTCACTCTCCACTCTACCTGCAACCTAATGCTTATGCCCATAATGATCTCAATCTATCTTCTAGCACAGGGTGTAATCAACACATACCCAACAGAGCAACAAAGACTCGGTTTGATGGGAATAAGGTCTTAATTATTTTTCCAGGGAACTCTGGTTTTCTCTGTACCATGATTCACTAACACCAATTCCAAAGTGGTAATTTTAATTCTTTCCTATTTACCCTGTACTTTGTATATAT